AAGGAACACACTGAGAAATTCCATGGGCACAGGACAGTAAACCCAAGGCTGCCTGCAGGACATGGTCCATCAGGCTGATTCATCCCTTCAGCTGGAATTTTATCTGGGCAGCAAAATCTTGCACAGCAGTTTTCAAAATAAATACCAGTGCAGAGTAGAGCAAAGTCCTGTCAGGTGCTGGTTTGCAAAAGCTCAGCCTCCAAGGGCAGCCAAAGACCACTTGAAGAGAGTGATGATGGCTTTAAACCTGAAGGCATTTTTTCATGATTACTCAGTCAACTCCAGTTTGGGATACTGATTCCAACCACCTGTAATTCACTGCCTGCTTGGAGGGAGAGATGAACTTCCCCTAGAAACCCTTGAGGAGGGACCTGACTGTCCTGCTGCAGTCATAGTAATGATCCTAATTAGAAGGAAAAAGTGAAAATCTTAATTTGGGCCAGGTGCTGTATGGACTCAACCAAAACCCTCCTGCCTGCTCCCAATGAGCTGTTGAGACTGCCTTATCTCTCTGCAGCTGAGAGATCCTTGGAGCACTGGGATGCAGGAAGAGATGCTGGAGATGCAGATGACCTAAGCTGAGGATGCCCTGGAGCAGGCACACCCCACCCAGCCCCTCAAGGAGGGTCTTCAGGAAGGGTTTGGACAGTCTTAGAGCAGCACCTTCCTGTTTGGCCAGGCTTGACCAGAGCTGCTGCTCACAGGACACAGCCATTGCCATGGCCAGAGTAACCGATGTGATGAGAAAGCTGTGGGACATCAGGTGTGTTGGCCTGAAATCACTGTTGGCTTTGTGGAGATTTACCACCTCCTGCAGTCTATTTGTGCCTTTTTTTCAGAAAGGACTGGTTTACACTCCATTAAAACAAAAAAAAAACAAAAAAGAAAAAAAAAAAAAGAAACATTTCCTAAATTAAGAAATAAAAGTTCAAAGAAGTTCAGCTCTAACTTTACCACAGACCAGGGTGGGTTCAGCTCAGATTTGCCTGCTCAGCTATTGAGATTGTTTCAGTGTTGGGATTTAAAAAGGTGTATACATGTAGTGTTTAAGAGCATGGTTTAAGCACTGGACTTAGCAGAATTAGGTTAATAGATGGCAGTTAGGTTATGGTTGGACTCAATGATCTTAAAGGTCTTTTCTAACCCAAAGGATTCTGTGATTCTTGGAGGTTGAGGTACTGCAGCAAGAAACACCTGCCCCAGACCCCCACCCCTTGACAGGTCATATCCCTGTGCAGTGACCATCAGGAAGATGAGAATCGAGTTTATTTAATTGCCCCAGTGCTTTGCTGTTGATCACAGGAGAGCATCTGCTTGATCCAGTGGCAGGGCTGGGAGGCACAGAGCCTCAGGGCTGCCCATGGAGAGGCCACACACACCCAGGGTCTTCCCGGAGTCGTTTGGAGTGGGGCAGCTTTGGCCCAGCACTGTCCTTCCCACCCATTCCCCCCCCCCAGCTGGGGCCTCTGCTCCCCCTGACACTCCCCAGCAGCCCCCCTTTGCCCCAGCCTGCTCTGCCTTGGCTGTTAAACTCCTTGTTGGGTGCATTACCTTTAATTTATGCCACCAGTGCCCTTTCATGGATTATAATTCCACACGAGATGCTTGTGCTGTATCCTCCCCCCGTATTAAAGTGTCAGGAGTATATCCC